CTCCTCTACCCGCCATACCTACTCACGGAGCTAACGAACGGTTGAGCGTAGCGTCGAGTAGACCGCATCCCAAGTATAACGTACGTATTCACGAGGACCTTCTCCATACATCGTGGAAAAAGCGTGTATGAAACCGCTTGTGCTATCAGGAGTGTACTAGTAGTGATCGTGTAGTGCACCGGCTGGACAAGAGAAACGTGGTGTGACAGTGAGAGGACGGTAGCGCGTGCGGTGCGTATCGCGATACACGACGGCCACGAGCAAAACCCCGTACGAATGTGAGGCTGCGTAAGCGTGTGCGTATGTGTGTGTGAGTGCGTGAGTGTGTGTGTGTGTACACCTTCTCGTGAGAGCAAGCGAGCGAGTGCGTGCGCGCGCGCGCAGCGTTCGCGTGCCTGTGTGCATGTCCTGTATGAGGGAAACAGAAGAGCGTATGTGTGGTGCGTGAGTGCGTGTCGTGTAATTTCTTCGTATATCCTTCTTTTCCTTGTTGGTGGTACCGTTTGGTAAACGAGGCTGAAGTGACAGACAGACCGTCCGCGTGTACGATATGTCGGAACACCACCGCGTAGCCGGTGGCTGGGGCACAGCGAGCCCAGGAAGCCGTGAGGATGCCTCCGGTGGTACCGCCTGGTGGCCTTCGGGTTTAAACACCGTATCGCCTGAACAACAACAGCAGCAACAGCAACAACAACAGAATCTACATCAACACCTGATGAATCAACAACAGCAACTAACACAACAGCAGCAGCTAACACAACAGCAGCAAGCACAGCAACAGCAGCATCATCAGGATATCGTTAGGAGTACCGCTGCTGCAACCCAGCAGCTTTTCTCCTACAAGATGGCCTCCAGCTTTCAGAATCCAGCCACCACAGGCACGCAGTCGAATCCCGTTTCGACGTCTACGCCGGTTGGCTCCTGCATGAGGGGAGGCTATGATTATAGATTAGGAACGGGGCCCGGAACAGGCGGAGGTGTACCTGGTACACCTTCCGCACCACCGCCTGGCGTACAGTGGTGGTACCCAGGTGGAGTTATGGACGCCGGACAGAACAACCTGCATCAGCAATTGCAGGGCCAACAACAGCAGCAGCACCTCTCGCCCATTACCACACAAACGTCCACGCCCCCCGTTATGTCCCCGGTATGTTGCGACCACGATCGACCCCCTTTATGCTTCCTTTTTTTCTCGTCATTGCCTGCTTTTTAATCTTATATTCTCCTTTTTTTTTTATTCGATATACTTATATATATTTTTTTTTTTCATTCTACTTGCGCGGAATTTTTTTATGTATCTGCAAAATACGTCCGTCTGGTCTTTTAATATTTCTTATCAATCGATTTTGCAATGCTGTTTAATGAATAGGTTTAACGTGTATTATTCTAACTGACTGAATATTTTCATTCGAAGGTCTTCGTTACATTTTTGTGTCCCATATCGATCGTAAATTGTTTAATTTTGTTCTTTTTTTTTTTTTTTTTTTTTTTTTTTTTTTTTTTTTTTTGTAGGTAAAGTAAGAGATCTATTAGCAGTCTGTTAGTAACCACCCAAGATATGTAAACGTGTTTTTTGTAGTATTTTATTTTCCAACGTAAGCTTAATTACGTGTGTAGATTTATAATTGTAGTAAATGTTCAGGTTTCATAGTTTTCTTTCTTTCTCTTGTTTTTAAATATTTTAACTTCTTTTGGAAAGTATCAACTAATCGATTGCGAGTAGTTGAGCAAGTATTAATATCTCATTCTATGAAATGAAAAGAAAGAAGCAAAGCATCAAGCAGTCATAATTACAGTAATTATGATAACATGTGACTGAACGTCAATTTCTCCTTACCTGTAAGTAATATCTTTATAAAGAGATGCTTTAATACCGTGAGTATAATACTAAGAATT